TAAGCACATAGCCTACTATAAGCGGCTATGTCTCCTCCAGCTTCCCATCCCTCTTGTCTACACATCCCTAGCATCATTATATAGATTCAAGCTAAAATGGACAAAAAAATGGAACAACTCGTGAGTGAGTTCAACTTTCACAATTAACAGTGGCTGACTGAGAACAGGATATTATCGTCGCAGACCGTTTCAAACTCGTCAATTACATCTCTTCAGGAACCTATGGTGAAATCTACGAAGGTAACCCCCCATCTCCCTTTTCTCCTTAACATAAACTAACCATCCCAGCAACCGACCTCAATACCAAATCCAGAGAGCGCGTTGCGCTCAAAATGGAACGCACAAAGCTCTCTGACTCCCTCACCAGGGAGTCATTCTTCTACGAGAAGCTGCAAAAGGGCAAATCCACCGGCATGCTTAAACTCCACTTCCCTACCGACGTCTGTGATGAGTACCGCGTCATGGGTATGGAACTTCTAGGCCCCAGTCTCTGGGACCTCAGATACTTCTGCGGGGGAAAATTTAGCCTCAAGACAGTTCTTTTGATAGCCGACCAAGCGATTTGTCGATTAAAGTCTTTACATGACCAGGGTATTATCCATCGGGATTTGAAGCCGGATAATTTCCTCATGGGAAGAGGCCGTGAGGGAAATAAGATTTATCTTGTGGATATGGGCCTGGCGCATGAGAAGGTGCTGGCACCTGGCAATCCGATGAATTATAACGGAGATCAGGCAAATTCGTTCCTGGGTACGAACGACTATGCACCTAGGGCTGCGCATCAGTTGCATTGTGTGTTTTCCTTTATTACCATTCTGATGATATACTAGTTCTTACAGAATACTGACAATCGTGTAGGTCAGACATATCGTGATGACATGGAGAGCTTTGGCTACGTGCTCATTGACCTTCTCAAAGATAAATTACCCTGGAGTGGTATGACAACTACTGTCGGGGGGCAAAGTCCCGAACAGCAGATGGGCAGCAAGAAAAGACGAATCTCTCTGGATGAATTGTGCGAAGATCTCCCAGCAGTGTTCAATCAATACTTTGAACACGTGAGATCGCTGCGCTATAACCAGCGGCCGAACTACTCTAAGCTCCGGCAGAGATTCGCAGCCGAATTCAAGCGGCAGGGATTCAGCCATGACTATGTCTTTGACTGGACAGAAAAGCGCTTTAAGGAGGCAGTTGCAGAACCAGCTGAGGAAGCGTATGTATCTTTTTCGTCCAGTAGCAACCCTAGCTAGTAGTGAAATATCTATTTATTAAATATCTATCTTCTGGAACAACCGGAACAACCACACCATAAGAATAAATAGAAACAGATAGCACTCCTCAAACCAAACATGAATCAACCACAGTTACTCCAACCTAACCAACTTTTCCCCCACAAACTCCTCAAACCCCCTAACCCCCTCCACCAACCGCAACGTCTCCTTCACCTTTCCCTCCTCATCTCCCCCATAATACCCAACCTGTTCATAAAACCTCAACATATCCACGACCTGCCACCCCTTCTGCCCCGGCATGAACCCCGCATACACCTCCTCCTCCATCCTGACATACCGAACCTTCTTCCCCATCACCCTACCCATAATCTCCACCACCTCCTCAAACGACCAAACCCCATTAGCAGCATAAACCTTCTCAGTCTCCCCCGTCAGAATCGGAACCACAAACTTCCCCGTATCCCTCACCGCATCAATCAGCGGGATCTTCTTCCCCCCATCCACAACATTATACACCACCAAGTCCGCCTTTCCCTCCGGATCAGGAAGAGGCCTCATGAACGTCTCGAAATTCTGCATGAACATGCCCGGATAGAACACAGATACTTTGATGCCGTGGGATGAGGATAGCGTGCGTAGTGCCTCTTCAGCTGCGAACTTCGAGTCGAAGACATCTACTTCCCGTCCGTGAGGGTGGGTGGGCACGGCGCTGCTGAAGATGATGTGTTTGAGGCTGCTGGGGCATGCGGAAATGACGTTTTGCACTTGTGTGAGTTCTTGGTGTTTGAGGTCTGGGGCTGAGTAGTCCGTTAGGGTTATTAGGATTAGGGTGTGCGTGTTGCTTAGGGCTGGGGTGAGGGAGTCTGGGTTGTTGAGGTCCGCGGGGAGGACTTCGATGGATTGATTGGCGAGGGATTGGGCTTTTGGAGAGGATGGGTTGCGGACTAGGGCGCGGAGAGTGTATTCGGTGCGCAGGGTTGGGTGATTGGTTATAGCGGAGATGATGGAGAGGCCTTGCTGGCTGGTGGCCGGGAGGATCGTGAGGATTTGGGGGGACATTGTGTGGTTGCTTGGTTGTGATTGGTTGTAGATGGTTGAAATTTTAGTATGTAGTGTGTGTAGATTGATTGATTGGTTATTTGCTGGGACGAGGTTGTGGTGGTGGTGAAGCTGCTGTTGAAGTATCTATTGTATACTCGGAGTTTGTATATACGTCCGGTCGGAGATTGTATGGAGGCCGGATCTTGCCTTGGATCTAGTTGTTAGGGCCGGATATAGACTGCATGGGGACCGGTCGGTGTCCGGGTTCTTAGAACCGGCATGGGCCGAGGGTGTCGCTGATTTACGTAGTTGCTTGAATATTTATACAATTTAGATGTGTGTTGCAGTGGTATAATTACTTGCTTTGAGCACAACCTTGTATAATGATGATGATTGCCTATTAGATCTGCCATTATCTTATTCCTTGCATACGGACTGATAAGGTTAGATAGATACATTCGGGGACAAGCAGTGCACGTGGCTCGTATATCATTCACCCCTTGTACAGGACTACATAGTATGGCATCGATCTGTCCACCAAGGTCCTTGAGCTATTTGTACTCTGAGTCCCAGTCCCGTGGACATGATACCCTGTAGCCAAACCCCGGCTCCACTTTCCGCTCGGAAGCTGCAAGCTTAACGTTGACACTTTAAGTCGACCACAAATCTTCATTATTGGACAGTCCCCCCATAGCAGCTTTGATGCTGAGATTCTCAGTAAGATTTCAGAAAACGCTTATTCAGTATGCATAAGAGTCCGTTCATTGTATAACAGTGAGTGATAATTCATTCAATGAACCGCCGAAACACTACCCATTCAGCCTCATCTAGTAAGCTACCTACGGTCCCACCGCAACATTCCATGCCTCACAGAGGCGCCATCCCCTCAAACTGCTCAGCTCCTTCCGCAGCATCGAGCCAACATACCCGTCTCTTGGTAAAGACTTCATGTCCTGGCTTATATTTATTCACCGTCTCATCATCGAAAATACCAGCACGCACGACCCTGAAATCACCCCGGCTTCCATCGGGATTTACTTTGTATCCGAAGAGCGGCGTACCTACCAGCACCATAGGTCAATTGATGATATTCAGATATATTGAGTGATTGACATGTCCACATACCACAGTCACCACAGAAATGGTTCACGATCCGAACTCCGCTGTCAGACGTCTTCGGTAGCTCTTTGGGATTCCCTGTGATCTTTACGTTGTCACCTTTGAACACGAAGTTGTAGGAATACAGAGTGCCGGTGACTTTGCGGCAGTCGTGGCAGTGGCAGATGGCCTAATCATTGATTAGAAGGGCTATTCTTGTTGAAGGGCATTGATACCTAGTCAGGTACTAACCACTATCATAGGCTCGCCACTAAGCTCAATTTGGACATTCCCGCAGAAGCAGCTGCCTGTCGTCATTTTCAGAGTATGGGTTGTTGGGAATTGTATACAAAAAGTATACTTCTGAATTGTGCCGCGGCCTTATGGAAGTTGTTCTGCACTTAGAGACGATTAGGTGGCTATATATTCAAGCTGCAAGGGTGAGCTGACACAGATTACAAATCTAAGGTAATCCCAACGTAAGCGGGTTGGGGTTGAGATAGTTATTGAAGCTCAACACCTCCCCGTTGAGTCATCATGGCGGCGTTTCAGATAACTGACTAGTTTGGTGGCTGAACTAAATATATAAATATCAGCGAACTACCCTAACTACTGTACAGTATTACCTGGGATACCTTATCGGCCCCAGGAATAGACCTATTAACGTAGGCCTCGGGCCTTGTGGAAGACGAATCAGCCATAGATCTACGGAATTAAGAGTCTTTCCTTCAGCAAGCGGGGTATTAGTGTAGCAGAATAAATAATAAGTATTAGCCTGCATACCCAAATTTAGCACCGCCTATTAATATCGTACCACGCCTTACCCTTTGTCTTGATGACGTATATATTAGGCTTTGCCTTCAATCCTTGAAAGATGCTTGATTTGAGACCACGCACCATTTCCTATACCCCATAAATTATATCTAAACACTGATGTCACAAAGCGTTTTGCAGAGCAAGCCAGCGTACCCGACATATGAGTTGATATATTCTCTGCAACTTAGCTGACCAAGATTAGCTTCCAGTTCAGTTTGTAACTGAAAGAGGCAATCCTGTAACACTAATAAGAGTGTATAAATTATGATTAGTGCCTCTTACGCCTTACTATGAGTCTGTATAGGAGAGAAGCAGCGGGCTGCCGCAAGGGGCAGCCCGGGCGGGCGCGTTATGTTGTCGGGCTGCAGCTCGGACTGGCTTATCAAGGAGCCGTCCGAGTGTCTGTCCGTCAATAGAAACTAATCCTCTGGTCCTCCGAAGAGAATTTCAGCACAGGTCATTCCTATTATCTGAACCCAACCTATCTTTCTCATGTCTAGACGAATGAATTTTAGTACTACGTCTCTTTCTCTGCGCAGGTTGCCCTGGCAAGCACATGGCCGCTTCATGGGACTGAAGCAACACGCGGCCCGCAGCTTCCATTCTGAGACTGCGGCAAACTACGACCTGTACTCTTATACATCTGGTAGATTTCTTTTTAACGAATCACTCCGCCTACACGAGCGCTACGTTGAATTCGATCATATTGCTCTGTTACGAGAAACCGAAAAGTTTGTCGGCAGGGACCATGGGCATGCCACTCACATCACTAAATTGGCAGAGGGTGGCTTCAATCGTGTCTTCCTCGTAACAATGGATGACGGATTTGAGGTTATTGCGAAAATACCATACCGCTTTACCGGTCCTAAGTACTATGCCACTGCTAGCGAAGCTGCTACCCTATGCTTCCTCCATGCAAAAGGCATCCCTGTGCCCCAGCTATATGGGTATTCGCCTTCAGAGGATAACCCTGTCGGAGTGGAATACATTCTTATGGAAAAGGCGATGGGTGTTGGATTACAGAATAACTGGCATGGCATGAGCAAACGTGATCAGCATAAGCTTGCATCGAGTTTCGTTGAAATTGAGAGGAATTTCTTCAACATCCCTTTTGGCTCTATCGGGAGCCTTTACTTCAAAACGGACATTAAGCAAGACCATCAGGCTGCACTATATGCTCCCGATGTACCAGAAAACGAAGACTCTGAAGTTTTCTGTATTGGTCCAACAGCGGATTACATGTTTTCGTACGGCAGAAGAGCTGCTCAGCATATTCATCGTGGACCCTGTAAGTTTCTATGATTGGACAACATGATTCCTCCACTTTCTCATCTTCATAGGGAATAACCATCAAGAGTACCTAGCGGGTATTGCTAGAAAAGAGGCTGAATGGATACGCTGCTTTGGGAAACCAGTTGAATTGGACTTCCCATATAATGGCGTCTTTCCTGGGTTAAAGTATCCGGCTGATTACTTGCCACTTCTGGACAAGTATCTTGCTTTAGTACCATTTCTGCTTCCGGAGGACACAAATAGCCGTCTCAATAAACCGACACTCCGGCATCCTGGTAAGTGTTTAAACTGTGGTGTGCCATAGTTTATTCTAATAAGTCAAAGATATGAACCCAAACAACATCTTTATTTCACCAGAGTCTGGTGCTGTGTCTTGTATCATTGACTGGCAGCACAGCTTCATTGAGCCACGCCTGTTGGCAGCTGGCTATCCTCGTGCATTTGAAAACCCCGATCCCCAACAGTCAACTGGTCTTAAAGAACCGTCACTTCCTTCGAACTATGTGGCCCTGTCGTCCCAGGAAAAAGCCGAGGCGGATGAACTCTACCGGCGACGTTTACTATTTCATTATTACCGTATCTTCAACGGTCATTACAACAAACCTCATCTTGAAGCTTTACGTGACCCCATTTTGCTTCCCCGGCAGCATCTCGTTGATAGGGCGGGCCGTCAGTGGAGTGGAAATCTAGTCACTTTGAAGGGAGCTTTAGTCCGGATGGTGGAATATTGGCCTCACCTACCCGATACAGAGGGGAAGCACTGCCCTGTAAGATTCACAGCAGAAGAACTTACTGACTTTCACGACGAAGAACAAACATGGCTCAATCTGAACAAGGTGGTGAGTCAGTGGTATGATCAAGTCGGTGGTGTCTCCGAAGAGGGATGGGTCAGTAACGAACGCTATGATGAGACTGTCCAGAGAGTTGCGGAACTCAAGTCTGCACTAATAGCGAGTGCGGAAGGGGATGAGGAAGATATTCGGCTGTTGGAAGAAGGATGGCTGTTTAGGGATAGCGACGAGTTTCATTAACTTGTTAGGACCTCTTAATACATGATTGGAAAATCCTTTGAGAGAACCATTGGTGGTCTAACTTCTTCACGGGCCAGACTAGAGTCGTGTTGTATCATTGAAATCCCATACCATATTATAGCCAACTACTACTGACGCAATAGAAGAGCAAGAGCCGACATGATAGTAATACGATAAAATAGAATATCGAAGGCGTTCAACAAAGTACTTATTATATATATCGTTTCCTCAACTCCGTATCCATCGCCATATTTACTAACTATTACCGGAAATAAATGACTACATATAACCAAATTTATCCGAATAATGATTTGAATGGATTTGAATGGATTTGGTTAGTATATTGTCTGTCGGTTTGTACAATCTCCAAAGCAACTGCAGAACATAATATAGACACTATTACTTTCATGCTGGATGCTTCTTCTATCTTTTAAATGTGCTTCGAAGCTGGGCGTCATAGGCTTTCTTATCCAAGAGTTTGCTTGCTGAAATGGGAAATATATCCTGCGTCCCAGTACCCATGCATAATCTGTTGAAAGGCATCATGGTTTGAAATACTTCTAATGAACCTTGGCTGTAGCTAACAATTAGCGCGAAGAGTCTGGTGGGGCTTGACAGTGCCAGGCTATACGAGAAAGTTTCCGTATGTAATACTTACTGTCTGCCCGGGAAGACCTGCTGAAAGAAGTATGTAGTCTTGCAGAGGCAGATGATACCTCAGGTCACATTAGAGCTATCTGAACATAAGAAACAGTATCCACTGTGGCTGTAATGACATGTAGTAGAAAAAGAAATAGAAGTAAAAGAAATATATCAGGCCAATGCCGTAACCGAGCACTCCTGCTCCATCGCCGCAGGCACGCCATGTGACTTGTCACCTGCGGCGGACGGGCTCAACGAAGAGAAAAGTAGAAACAATGTGGGGAATTTAACACAGTGAAAGCGAAAGGAAATGGAAGAACAAAGAGAAGTGATCAACACGAAGGAAATCCTAGCGCATCCCAATGCTTATGAGGAAAAGACACAGACGGAAATAGACAAAGAAAGTAGCGAGGACACCAACAGACCAGTCGCTTCTGATCCCAGGACTTGGCACCAGATCACCGTATCCTACAGCCCAAAGTAGGGAAAGTTCGATCATCAACATCACGTCGTCCCTTATACGTAATCGTTCATCCCACTCATTTGGTCGTGACTTAGACGTTCTTATACAGTAGTAGGGGTTCGCCAACATTTTCGATCTCGGGAATTGTGCACTTGAGGTCAAAAGCCTTGGCCAGGACAATCTTGAAGATCTACCATGCTGTTAGCACTAGCATCAGGTAATACTGCATAGAATTGGACATACCTTTTGCACGTTGATGCTGTGACTTGTACTGCTGAAAATCAAGCTGGCTTTCATGGCCTTGGCAAAACGTTTCGCCTATAGGTGGTCAGTGCGCGCTAAGACACCTCACATGCATTCTCACTCACCTGAATCGAGATCTCCTCCTGGTCCTCGCGGGGAAAGTTGACGAAGTGGTCATATTTAGTACCGATCAGGAAGGGAATGGCCGTCTTGTTGAACCCGCGACCTTGTCGGTACCACTCCTTGATCGAGTTCAGTGTGCTTTTGCGCGTGAGATCGAACATGAACAAAATTGCGACAGCATCGTTGCACACGAGGGGAAGCATGTTGACGAATTCACGTTGGCCACCCAGATCCCAAATAGAGAACGTAATTTCCGTATTCCGAATGGAGATAGTCTTCTCCATGAAGTTGACGCCTTGACATCACGGTCAGCATTATCATTCCTAAGCGCCCAAGAATCCGCTGCCTACCGAGAGTCTGGATATAATCCTCATCCCAACTACCCTCCACATATTTCACCATCAAACTGGTCTTTCCGATCTGGGCATCTCCGACCATTCCCACCTTGATCACCACACTGTTCTTGGCTGCTTGTGATGGTTGCTTTTGACTGATATCGTGTGTAGGCTGGGGCAGGCTGTTGGACATTTCGGAGCTGGGGCGGGATGACGATAAGGGTTGCGGCTGATGAGTTAGCGGGGAGAAGTTCTGTCGAGGTTGGTCGTTTTCATTGTGGAAATCGCGAGCCGGGGAGTTGAATTCGTGGGAGGAGTAGTGGGCGCGCGAGTCGCTACTGTAGCCATTTGAGGTCGTGAACTCGTCTGGTCCCGCCAGTCCGAGGCTTGCGGGAGCGGGTGTATCAAGGCTCTGGGGCTGCTCCAGATGCGCCTGATTTGCGACATCCGAAGCGCCGGCCACGGGCAGTTGTGAGGCATCCATATTTGGATGACAGATGTTGGGTTCGGATGGTATCTGTGGGTGGTGTGGATTAGTCCCAGGCGTAAACACGGTCGAAGTCCGGTGGAGCGGGGATGCTGAGACCAACCGAATTTGAGGATTTGGGATCACAGCACCGGTTTCCCGGAACCCATCCAACGGAACAAAATCGGACGATGACAAAGGGGAGGAGAGAATGATCTAGGTGGTTACTGATTTGTCAGTTTATCATGTCTGGGATGCAAGCTCTATAGCTTGGGACCGATCTGGGGCAATGAGCGGGAAGGATGGGTTTGGGTTGTGGTGGTATGCACCTTTTGTTGCAGAAACCAAACAATGTGACAGGTGCACTAGTAGTCAAGGCACGCAGCCGGTGTGGAATGATGGGGGCGATAAGGAAGCAACTTAGCGGCACCAAGCAGAGACCAGAGAGAGTGAGTAAAACGAAGGCGGTGCCAACCACGGAGCAACAGCAGAGCAGCACCAACAAGAGGGAAAGAAGGACAGGGCCAGCTGAGGAGGAGGAGGGATGAGGAACAGCCCCTTGGAGGAGAAAGCAAGACAAGCAAACACAGCCGCAGCTCTCCAGAAAGCAAAGCCAGCAAAAAGCGGGCGCCAGTCTCCGATCGGGTCTATTCCCCGATAGGCTTAGCGCCCTTGTCCCGTGAATTTCGGCCTGGCGAACAGAAAAAAAAAAGTTCCCCGACTCTCGCGGCCAGGAAATTCAGTCAGTCTCCTGCTACTCAACCGGGTTTGTGGACGACCGACATTTAATTTTAATTCCCCGACGCCTACACGTCCCACCGGTTCATCATGTCCAAGAGATCCGCCGACGTTTCCGACGAGCAGAACGCCGCCCTCAAGGCTGGTGAACGTCCCGTCGTTGATGCCCCTCCCGACGAGGTGGGGGAGTTCGAGGACGAATATGAAGATGAGTTCGAGAGTGAAGATGAGGTCCTCGAAGCTGGTGTAGATGGTCGGCCTGATGCCGAACGGGAGGAGGAAGAGAAAGGTACGATTATGCGCCCAATGCGACGGGTTCTGCCAGTCGCATACTGCCATTCTCGATTGCGGCAGCCATACTGACCCCGACTGGTTCTTCAGATGCAATGGAGGTAGACAAGCAGACTTTCATTCCCGGAAGGACAAAATTGGCACCCGGAGAGGTCCTCTCTCCTGATCCGTCTACGTACGACATGCTGCACACTCTCAGCACCCCGTGGCCCTGTCTATCGTTCGATATCGTGCGCGACTCCTTGGGCGACAACCGCAAGACTTACCCCGCTACTGTCTACGCCGTGACGGGCACACAAGCTGAGGGCAGACGGGCAAAGGAGAACGAATTGATGGTATTGAAGCTCAGCGGCATGAGCAAGATGGACAAGGAGGATGGCATGGACTCGGACAGCGACTCCGATTCGGACGACGACAGCGAGGCAATCCTCGAACACAAGAGCATTCCTCTCGGATCGACAACCAACCGCATCCGCGCCCACCAGACCCCCAACCAGTCCGGAGACTACTCCAAGCCCCCGCAGACTATTACCGCTACGATGCTCGAGAACTCCCAGGTCGTGATTCACGATGTTACCCCCCATCTCACCAGCTTCGATGTCCCTGGAACTATTCTCCCTCCCTCCGCCAACAAGCCCCTGTCTACTCTCCGCATGCACAAGTCTGAGGGATACGCTCTCGACTGGTCCCCGCTGCAGCCCCTCGGCAAGCTGTTGACCGGTGACAACGACGGATTGATCTACGTGACGACTCGCACCGAAGGTGGTGGCTGGGTCACCGACACTCGTCCCTTCACCGGCCACATGTCGTCTGTTGAGGAACTTCAGTGGTCCCCCAACGAGAAGAACGTTTTCGCCTCTGCCAGCAGTGACGGCAGTGTCAAGGTGTGGGATGTTCGTTCCAAGTCGCGCAAGCCTGCTGTCGACGTGAAGGTTTCGAACACCGATGTCAACGTCATGAGCTGGTCCAACCAGACTTTCCACCTCCTGGCGACAGGTGCGGATGACGGACAGTGGGCCGTCTGGGATCTGAGACACTGGAAGCCGAATGCCGCGGGTTCTCAGACCACAGCCTCCCCTGTCGCTTCGTTCGACTTCCACCGCGAGCCCGTGACGAGTATTGAGTGGCACCCGACCGACGACAGTGTCGTCGCAGTCGGATCCGCCGACAACACGGTCACTCTGTGGGATTTGGCCGTGGAATTGGACGAGGAGGAGAACCGCGAGGCGGGAATGCAGGAAGTTCCGCCGCAGCTACTGTTCGTGCACTACACGGAGTCCGTCAAGGAAATCCACTGGCAGGCCCAGATGCCCGGTACGATCATGGCTACGGGTGGTGCTGGATTTGGGTAAGTCATTCCACTCTTTCCCCCCCTTTTTTTTTCTTTATTCCTAGGGACTTAAGCTAACTATCAAACAGTGTGTTCAAGACAATCAGTGTGTAGACGAAGTCCAACAAAAGTGCCAATTTAAACGAATGCATATAGGTAGTTTGGTGCGTTTTGATGCGTTATACCACATGATCGGTTATGTTATTGCTTTATGATGAATTATATAGATTACAATGATGAAGCATGATGCCTATGTCTTTGGTCTGTAGACGACTGTTATTTAATCAGAGTGATATTTTATGTGACTAAATATATCGATTTAACCAATCGCTCCATGATTCATGTAGAAATAGTAATAGTAGTAGTTGAACCACTCATTGACCTAATTTGACCCTGGCTCAACTGAAGTCTCCACTTTCCTTGTTTTATATAGAGGTCCCGACTGAATCGTGCTGAGCGGGATGACCCGGATCTGCTGCGCAACTCAGCTCCACCTCACACACTTGTGCCCTAAAGCGACGACCTCCTAGTGTCATTTCTGCTTGATTCGGGTGTTTGGCTTCTTTCAGAGCATCGGCACCCGCCGGTGGTAGGTCTTTAGAGAGTTGATTATGCTTTGTGTAAATAAACTGAGTATCTGGATGAAGGCTATTTGCCACTGGGGTTATGAGTCGTGTGGTAGCGGGACCTCTTTAAGAAAGATATCAGTCCTATAATAAGTATCTTTATGTAGATCTTGTTCCCTCGTCATGTCACACCCCGCCCATGATAGGTCTTGGGAGAAATGACCATGTATGGAGTAAACCGAGTATCTGGATAGATTGCCTATGATGGAGGCTATGGCTCGTGTGGTAGCTGGACCTGCTGAAGAAAGATATCGGCTCGTCTTAAACTCAGTAGCATGGTTCAGATCTTATGAACATCCTGCCTTCCTCATAGCGTCACAACGGCTGCTTATATGCCTTGGGAGATATGACCATGTTGTAACTAAGCTGGGTATTTGGATGGACTGCCTGCCATCGATCGGGCTCATGATTCGTATGGTAGTGGGACCCTGGTCAGAGGACATAGATGGTGATTTCAAGTTAAACAAATCTAGATCAAGAGAACGCGCAAGGCAGCGGACAATCGCATAATCATCACCCCATCGCTGCTCTGGATGTCGACGACTCATCCCGGACGTGGACATGAAAAGGCAAATGGCTGCGATGAGAGCGAGGATCTCGCAGCCGGCGATTCCGACGGTTCTTGTGGAGATGGTGGTGTCGGAACCCGGGTCATATATGCATCCTGGATATATAGAAATTCTTGCATATATGAAGAGTTTAGCGTCGAGTGGCGCATTAACGTGCGTTGACTCGTAGGTAACCATGCTAAACAGTATAGCGCGCGATACGACATGCCACATGCCATGCTGCTCACCAGATTGTGAGTGCTGATTGGACTATCAGTCCCCGTCCCAGGTGCTTCTTGTGCGATTTGCGAGGACCGTATTATCTATGGCTTCGGATTTGTCGGCCATTGATTCTTTCGTTTGATGAGCTGGTCCAGCTTATCTGCTATAGTATGAGCGATTTGGAATGTCTATAGCCTTGACGTTGTTGGCCATTGTATCTCTCTCGACCGGCTGATCAAGCTTGTCAGCTATAGTCTGAGCCTTTTTTAATGTCTATGGCTTCGATCTTGTCAGCCGTTAAAACTCTCGTTCGATAGGTTGGCCAAATTCATCTTCCATATGATGAGAGATTTTGGACACATATGTAATCATGGACGCTCAGTCTTGACTGCTTCGGTTTATCCATTGTATTGCAATACCCCGCGTCCATCTTCTCGTTGGGATGTACGAGGACCGTATTGACTATGGCTTCGAATCCTTTAGCCAACAATTCTTTTCTCAGCCGGCTGACCATGCCCATAGTTCTTATTTTGAGCGATTCTGAATACTTAACTTGTATTAGAAACCGCCTGGTCAGGCCACATCTGTGTCACCATACCCGTTGGGTACTTCCACAAGGCAATCAAGCTATTGACTGAGCTTGGGTGTCTGTCGATGTGCCTTGTACTCCATGTACGCGAGCACCAGACATGATTCCAGCATCCATAGCCCTCGCAGCCCTGACACGCGCAATGTCAGCAGTGAGCTTGTGAGTATCTTGCGTAGTTGCGTCTAGATAAATGCTTCGCACTCCCAGCCGCATTTGTCCCACGCCGATTAGCATCCCACGGAAGTAACGTGGGCTCGGTGCTCTTCCGCCCTGAGCAGATCGATATTATAAGTTGGCCTTATTGAATTTGGGCTTGCACTGTGCTTTAAAACTAATAGGCACCCGTCGGACCCTTGTAGATTCACCGTCAGTTGAATAAACTCATGAAAGTTCAAGGGGAAGACCTACTTACCACAGCTCCAAGACCGGAGAAAGATCAGCCCTTAGGGGCATCAAGACACCGAACCCCACAATAGCCACACTTCTTCTTGAAGAGCTGTTTCTCTGCCGGTATCTAGACGAGATAGATATGAGCAACCCGGATCTGCCCAACCTGCGAAGAGTGGTACCATAAGGCCACCTGTGGAGCCTATCGACATGCACACCACCCTCGAGGGTTTTCCACTCGTCAGCCCCTGAGCTAGAATAACTGGCACTGACGCCAGTCGATATGGAAGACCGGTGATGTATCAAATGTCAAAAACAAATGCAGAACACCGAATGGTGTTATTCGGCGATGTATATGCTCAGGACCCATTGCCCAAGCCAACAGTTTCTGCCAGATTTATTCCCTTTCTCTGGCACTTGTGTTGAATGTGTCATTGATCCTTTGATCATAGTTGAGGATTCCATGATTGATTGAAGAAAGATTGTTCTATCTCCATAGAACCGTCAGTATAAGGATCGATAAGTCTTCATCATTCTTTTCGAGCGACGCCATTCCCAAGGGTCCATTCGAGAATGAAGGCCAAAGCATGGCGTTAGCTCTCTATATCAAAAGAAGACTGCGAATCCAAACCGCTTCACAGCCCTCACGGCGACCGAAACACCGTTGACACAGGATCGAACCCTTCGCATCAAGCACACAGTTCATCTTGAAGGCTTTCTGCTGCTCCTCTTCCTCGCGCTCGATGTTCTTGATTGCAGTCCTCAAACAGCACATACACCAATGCCAATTCCTGCTCCTGAAGTCGTGCGTTTTCTGAACGCACATAAAGAAGCACTTCTTTTAGTCCACATACGACTTTTGATCAAAGTCCTGTGACATTTGTGTCAGATGAGAGACAACGTGCTATACTCCCCATGGAGTCTCAACGAGACTCCCAAGCCACATTCTAACTTTTGCCACATTAACGTGACACATTCAGCTCGATATTCTTGTTGAGAAAGAATGGATAACACAATCCTCCTTTAGTCTTGTCCATAATCCTCCTTTCTACCTCAATTGACCATTATAGCCATGCGAGGCGCTAACAGTAACCCGTGAAATTGCCCATCTACTCAGCCAATCTTCTCTATTCTGCGCCGACATCCAGCTCTTACCCCAGCTATGCGAACGCCAACATGTCCTTGAGCACTGGCCTTGACTGAATGGGCCCTGGTTCTCCGATGCTCTAGCATTGCTAGTATGGGAATCTTCGTTCGAGTTTTACCAATGCGTGCTTGGTATGTCGAATCATGGCGACCGGCGCCATCCACGAAGCCATCTGCAATGCCAGTGACTCGAGTGTCTATTTGCAGTTGGTATCTTGAGATTATATAGCGATCTTAAGTGCCTTCTTCTTTTTCTTTGAGGTGCCTGTTTATTTAGAAGTGCTGTTAGTCAGACGCCTGGTTCTTCATGAATGGTTGGTCTTCATGGATGTCTCTCTAGCATACTTTTGTTGAGTACCTGCTGATGATAATAGAGATAACACCCAACGATGGCTAGAACGCGTCGATCGACCAGTCTATATTGGAGGAGGTATTGTAGAGAAGATATGATGGCCGTGGATATACATGCCAAGGATGATAGATAGAAGTTGCAGCCATGGCTAGTCTGAGTCAAGTGTTCCTCATATATAAGAGAAGATGATTAGAGAAGATGATTGGAGGAGAAGAAGAAGGAAGGAAGATCAAAAGCTGAGAAGATCTCTTTTATAATAGACCTGCTCGGTGAAGAGCTGTGGGGCATGAATTAGTAGATTCACGAGTCAGACTTTCATCGGCGTAGCAACTACAGTTACTATTTCCTGCATTGAAAGCATTGAGTTAATGCAAGGGCTTGCGAATTGGCGATATTACCTTTCCTCGGTGCCTGTTCTATAGTTTATCTCGTGTTGAGGAGGCTGTTTGGAGTGAATAGCTTGGTATAAGTTTAGACCGTGTTGCTAACGGCGATGGCTCTATTATCATATTTTATTTTAGTGTGAGCGAGCTATTCGGGTAGTGGGATATCAGCGTGGCAGTCAGGCACGGCGTGTATTCCTCGTAGTGAGGGCATTCACAATGGGACCAATCGGTGAATCAAAGAACTTTGTAGATTCATCTCTTCATTCCAAGTATTAACTATTAACAGGTGTCCAGAGTATACATATCACAAAGGCATAGACTTAGGATTGGGTCTCCTATACAGGCTGGTCGTTCGAAATAGTTAGCAATTCTTGCCTGTTTGTCTCCGCAGACGTGGAACCTTCACTCCGATGATGAACTTCCCCATCCGCTTGCTGGCTGTTCTGCCTATCCCTGAATCGTTCCCATAATTTTGAAGAGAACAATGATTCCATAACACTTTTCAGGCGCTCTGAGGCAGTTTCTTCATGATGATCGATCTTGCGAATCCATAGTCTATCCAAGGCATCCCGCAGGACCCATTCGTCGTTTTTCAATTTGACCCACCCCTTGTTTTTACTGAACGCTTTCGAGATGATGAATATAAGAAAGAGGACCATATGCTATTGGTACAGAGTTAGAATGGGTAGAAGTGCTCAGTTGTTGCATTGGCTTACCGGCCCGTACGCCATGGCAACTTCGGTGACAGTTGCGGTTTCACTCCACCATGTCGCGCTGGAAAACGCGAATATGGTGATACATCCAATCAGTCCGATCCAGGCCTGAAGCGGTTGTAGAATACGCAGACTGCCTTTAGCAATGTACTTTTCATCTAGTCGGATGTATTCAGGACGGTTGTGGTACCGAAGTCGGGGTTCGCATTTCTTCAACCTGCGCTAGCAATGAGTATCTCTTCACTATTGTATGTTGAGCAGACACACGAACCAGTAATAGTATCGAATAAATGCGAGACAGATAGCTGCCCATACGATCATTATAGCGGTGCTGGAGGAGATGGATATAACTTGGACCACCTGTCTGTATTAGCAGATACATAGAGCAAATATATTGCACCCACACACCTGCTGTACTGCAGAGCTATCCACGAGCTGTAGGAATGGAACCCAGCAGAATGCTAGAAGTGAGACCAGCAAGGATACAACCGGAACTTTGGTGCCCTCGCTTAGAATTGCTAGCTTCTTCTTGACCCAGAGTTCTTTTGTCGAAGATCTGGGAAAGTGCTTCGCCATACCCCATAAGGTTCGGGAAGCAACGTACAGTGAAGTGTTGGCTGCAGAAAAGACACTGAAGAGTAAACAGCCGTTGAGAAAACCAGCCATTGACCGGTTATTGGTGGTTAGCGCGGCTATGACGATCATGCTACTTGACGAACCAGGGTTAGAAGTAGCTGATAATGTGCTATTCGAAACTCCATCATGAAGTTTCGGTAGAGCAGAATCATTCCACTTCACGTTGATGACCTCTCCCAACGTGCACATGATATACACGACTACCGCTACATACGCAGTCCAGCGAGCCGGCCAGCGAAGGGCATGGCCGTCTCGAGCTTCGAACGCAGTCATGGCGTATACCTCTATGCCCTGGAAAGCGTATGCCGTGAGTGGGATAGCATAGCTGGTACCATCTTAGCATTTCAAATAAATAGGCAAGGGGGCGGCGAGCTGACCATTGGGCTTGGCCATTACTGCTAAAACCTTGTCCATGTTCAAAGCTAGGAGACGACACTACAACAAGTGAGCTTTTACTGGAGCCTCAATGATGGCAATGAAATTAGATTCGTGCCATCTGGGATTGTCACTCACCATCGTCCGCAATTGTATAGAGATAAATTGAAATTGCCACAATCATCACCAGCTTTAGGAAACCACCAATCGTTTCCACAACACCGTACCACTGAGATCCTATCAGCTAAGTATCCATCAATTCGACGACACAACTCACGAAAACTCCAGTCATGTTGAGAAGGAATAAGATGACTGGAACCATAACGTAGCAGATAAGAACTCTCCACGCCGTTGCCAGGCCCCAGTACTCTAGGAGAGTCGCAGCCATAGAGGTTTGGCTGGCAAACGTTGCTGCGTATGCATACCTATTTCCCCGTTAGCTGCAAATGGTGCTTGGTGCTGGATCAAAAACTATTACCAATAAGCCAGTCCGATAACCCAGCCAAAGTCCTCGTCGACGAATGTGCGGACATATTCAACGATCGAATTGTAAACCGGGAACTGCTGAGCCAACTCGGCAATACACTCATTGACTGCCAGAACTACTATGCTGATGATGAGGACCGCAATAATCAAGCCCATTGGTCCCGCAATGGCGAGGGCCATTCCATTGTTGGTGAATATGCCACTTCCGATGACAACACTGAGCGTGATGAACTGAGCCCTATTAGCAACGACCAAGAACGGAAGTATCATGCATACAAAGATCTGAAACCCAAAAAGCTCCTGCCTAGACCGCGTCAGCATATCGTCAAAAACTCCGAAATATTGCATACTTAAGCTTTTCTGATGTGTCCACCTGGTTCGTCATTGTGCTCGGCTATGGCATCGCCCACTCAAAGTTGTACACTCTGTGCGGTGAAATCGGACATGTAGTATGGAAGATCCCAACAAAGAAATAAGCAGAGTATCTAAATAATCTTGGTAGAGATAGACTTGCATAATGGGTAAATACGCTAGGCCGGGGCATCTCTCGGATGGGAGAAATCACGAGGCAACCGAGAAGGGGGATCTCACACGAATCGGGGACATGGCCAGATCAGGCTAATCCTGACTCGGAAGAACTACTAGTAATTCGAAAGTCTTGCATGGTGTATCTCAACAAATGATTGGCTCGTGATAAGAAAACACCCGCAGCCTCGTCGGACGCGACAGCACCGGGCGGGGAGAGAAGGCTGCCCTTGATTGCTTTCCTCCCTCGCCCAGTGCTATTGTGGCACGCAGATAAACCTCGAGAGCCTCATTTGGTGGGCATGGCGCTCTGTAGTGGTAACAGAATATTTGAAAGCTAGCAGTCGTACACGAGGATTCGGCTCATTGTATATAACCAGCGCTCGGAACTGGCATTGGAAACTCTGGGGAACAGCGGCTACAACCTTGCGACCACGGCCATTCAGGTTTCCCTCATCCGAGTCTCTATGGCTTCTTCCATCCTTCCATATCGGCACGAACTTACCTCGGCCGCATCATCGTACATCGAAATGGACGAGGAAATAACAAGCTATGTGAGGGAGCGATATGACAACCAGGTCCAGACGAAGGTGGAAGTAGGTTTCCCGCCGACCATCAAGCCTGACATACAACGCGATGGACCGGCTGACGCTAATGACCATCATTGAACCCACAGTTTCGCAATGACCGATGGTGTGTTTGGGCTAGCATAAGATTTACTAAGGTGCGTCATGGCTGTGCATCTTCTGATTGCAAGAGGAGAAGACAGAGGCTAACCTACTGACCAACAGGAAGAACTGGAGTATGTGTCTTAACATCAATTCACTGACGCCCGGCTGACCTGATCCACCTCCTACCATAGTGAGATGGTATTGGAACTAAGAAGCCGCACCACAGCGCACCTGGCCGCGTGAATATGAAGCAGGGCGTCTGTATGGATAGGAACATCTTGATGGCTGGGCCCAATGCATTAGCTCGGGCGGCTGTACCAGTGTGGCAAGCTTCGGAAGACGCGATGAAGAGGGCGAGAATGTGTTTCAATGGACGGTGGGCGTGGCGCAGACAGGCTATGCCGTTGTTTGCTGGAGGACTAGTCCTAGATAGTCAGCCTTGACCGTAGATGACCGCCAATCAATCTGCCTGAGGCGCTGTGCATACATTTCCGTATGATTTAGTCTCATCCCTCAGCCTTGCTGAACGCTGGTCGGCAAGGCTTACCCGAAAATTCAGAAGGCATCGTGGCCCCGAAGACCGATAGACTCGCAAAAGAAAAACAAATTTCTGGTTTCCATGTAGCTTTCAATATAAAGACAAGTTTGACTGTCATCTCAAGCTAGGCGAAGGTGAGAACGAAGTTTTGAAAAAAAGGGAAAGAAAAATAGCCAATACAATGACGGTGGACAATGACCCTGTCCAGATATGGCGCCCTTACCTGCAGCAACTGCCCTCTCACCACGACCCTTCCTCGGTCAACCTCGCCAACCTTGAGGACCAATTTCTAAACGGAGTCCCGCGGGTATTGACACGCAAAAACGAAACGCACGTCCGAGTAACGGATGTCTACGATGGTGAGTACCGTTAAGGCCCTTCTGTGGCAGCATACGAACTCACGCCCATGTCTCGCAAGATCATCGTGCAACAAAACTCCACACAAATTCAAAATCGCTTCAGAATTTTCTCACAACAGAGTCGGCTATACCAGATGGATTGAATATCAGGATTGTGTATGTGTGCATTGTCCTTGGCCAATGTCCATCGATATAATAAGGTGCTAATCAACATTGGAATCAAATAGGTCCATCTACTCCCCAGCCGCCATTGCCCCGCTAGAAGTTACTCCGCTGTCAATGGCACTCTTGCTAGAGCGATATGCCGTACATCCATCCTTTATTCAAGTGCTGCTTTCTTTCGGGAGAAATGTTCATATTTCAGAAGCAGGGAATGGCCTTTTGTGTGTGAACGAGCGAGACAACGACACCTGTGAGTCCTGATATTTTCTCACGTCTACGACATCAAGAGAACAAGCGGTAACACGAGACGAGTAGATGTTTCATACCAGCTCAACTATGTTGAGAAAACTGGACGCAGGTTGATACCGTGGTCATGGCGCCACACTGGGGTGTACCACCACCGTCGCCAACCAAGTCAGAATGAAAAAGGATACGACTTTTTCATTCTCCTTCATCCAAACGAGGATAGTATCTCGGACAAAAGAATCCTGAACGGGCTTGGGATCTTTGAAGACTCGAGATTGCAGCCAGGACTAAGCCGAAACGAAGCCAGGGACCAATCAATCCTGGTTCATTCGCTAGTTCTCTCCTCCTTCATTTGCAACTGGAGATGGTATCTTCGTTATCTCGGAGACCGATTCGAAGAATATGTAGGGCTCACAGTTTCTCAGCGAGGTTCTGACCATCTTACCTCCCTTGGTCAGGCCTTTCATGATAGCACAATGACTGTTGGGCTAACAGCTTTCACTGAATCAGAATGACAGAGCTCTGGTGGACTTACCTGATGAATCCACTCCTCTAGAGAGCTATAGAACGGTTTCAGAACTTCGCAATTTGAATGACTTTGCCCTGCGCGCACATGTATGCTGTCGTGGCAACCTGGACTTAGTTAGCGCCCTGAAACCCGTCATTGCCTCTTCGTTGCGTAGGAGGACATTGGACTCCGCGGGACAAGCTCTCCCGGGGTGCGAAGCACTATTATTAGCGCTCCAGGGCTACATAAAGAGCTGTGAAGAGCTGATTCCAAGGATGAGGAACGCGATTGATCTGGTTGGCTTCCAAATCCTCTGTGTTGTCAATCGAAGGGCATTATGCTAACGCAACACAGGCTGGCTATACACTATCGCTGCACAATCAACTTGAAACAGCAAGAGTCGACCGTGAACTGCGCGATCTGACCAGTAGCTTAAAACGGTTGCAGGAGGACAACATGAATGACAGCGCCGCAGTCAAAGTAATCACATTCGTGTCGGCAATCTACTTACCCGGCTCTTTCATCGTCAGCTTATATGGAATGAATTTCTTCGTCTTCGATGAGGACTTACGCCAAATCGTTATTGCCAAGGATTTCTGGGTGTTTCTCGCCACCTGGATACCGCTGACCCTGATCACAGGGTTGATATATGTGTTGATTGTATGGTTCGATGCCTGGTGGAAAAGGAAGCCGTTCCGCTTTTTCCAGCGTCCGCGGAAGGAAGACATGAGTGAACCCGAGATGCAGGTTGGGAAGGAGTTTGCAAGTGAGTGAGGTGTACTATAAATCTGGTAGTCGTTGTTTCGTTTTCTTATCTTCTTTTTTTCTTTTTCTTTTTCTTTTTCTTTTCTTTTTGCAGTCTAGGCTAAATAGCATGCGTCAATGATGCCCATTACTGGGAGGTAGGTCAGATATGAAGAAGCTGGTCTCGTTCCATAAAACCACTGTTGCTACCCCTAGCTGCTCATAGGCCCGTACATTGCTGGCCTGCTTGAAGTCCTTTGGAACTTCCAGGACTTCACGGCCCCTGGTAATTGAGGCATGCGTTTGGTTTTCTCGGCGGGTGATTTCAAATCGATGTAGATATAATCGTGTCGTAATTAGATGACCGCTTTTGACTAGCCCGAGCAGATACTCATCACCAATCATGCAGCTGACTATCACATTCAAAGTATCAAATGGGCGCTCAATGCGTGCTGGTTCAACGCTATGTGTCCCACTGCGCTGCTGATTCAGAGTAACAGCTGTGTACCTGTTCTGGTCATCTGCAAGGACACACCCTTTACCAGAACTATAAGGCATAACTGAAGTATTCCAGTGGAATCGATGCTGCTTTATATATGCTTAGTTTCGCATCATCTAACACGGGCGGCTGTAGTATGGCCTACCAGAGAATAGTGAACAGCGAAGTCTGGTTCATCTGCCATCCCCTCGACTTTCCAAACGTACAGAGACTCTTGCTTTGAGCTCCTTGCCCACACAAACAAGAAGTCACCGCTGGCGTTGAATATGGCCTGCGTAAATGATTGATCTGCGACGGGCAAGGCCAGGGTGCGCCGCACGTCTGATGACGATTGGGACGGCCAAGAGAGGAGTATTATGTCCTTGTCCTGGACTAAAGCGAATAGACCACGCGGAGATACGGCGACCGATACAACTAACTCTGGGACTATGGGTAGGCTTGTCTCGAAGCCTGAATTAACCTCCCCAATATGAAGCTTAGTTTCATTAGTACAACCCCGTAAGCTGTACAAAGAAACTTACCACTCTTCCCCCTTCTCCCTTACGGGAACCTTTACAGAAACCCCAAACTGCGAGGTACTGGCCTTCGATGGCAACCTCGGCATTACCTAACTTCCCAAACAGTGATAAGAATCCAACCTCTTCGATTTCTTTTTGCGTAAGGTCCAAGTTCAGTATTTCAACTTTGTCATTGCATACTACTGCAATTGGGACCTTGCCTTGGCAACTTGTCCGCGACATATAGGTGTCAATGACATGTTTTTTGCCATGTGGTAGTAGCTTGCTCGGTCCCTGCAAGCCTGACTCTCTGGGAAATTCTCGGGGATCTGGCATTCGATAAGATGGCTGCCTGAACGGAGGCTCGGCTGGGGACTCGGGTGGCTGCGAATCGCGGATTTGAGGCAGGTCGCATGATTTATACACACCTCTAACGTATTCCACAAGCTGTTGCGCTTTGGGCCTGTGCTCCTTGTCTATGATAAGGATGTCTTTGATTGTCTTCACCCATTCGCCTACTACCCTCTCAGTGGAATTTTGATTGTGCTCAAGCCATCGGACAACCGAATCTCGTACTTTGAAGCCTGTCGTTTGAGGCGACAAGCTCTGAGCAAACTGTTCATCCCAGTAACAGTCATTCGTTGCTCCAGTTTGCCTTTCCTTGGCTAAGTGTTCAACACCTTCGCGTCGTCCGATAGCCCAGGCGAGTACCTCAGTGAAAATGCATCCATAAGCCCAAATATCACTTCGACGACCTATCTTGTCAGCCGTAACTGTTGATCCTCTTCGGATAATAGCTTCCGGTGGTCGATAGGTCCCTCTTCCCCGGTGAGGGTTCACTTCAATGGTCGGTTCCTGGTAACAGCCTCTGACACTGAGTGGACGGCTTGAACCAAGCTTCTGGGGTTCAAGCACGGAAATGCCAAAGTCAGATATCATCCACTTCCCTACAACAGAGCTTGCATCATTCCTGATTAAGATGTTGTCCGGCTTGAGGTCTAAATGAGCACACATGATGTGCTCGCCATCAACCTGAATATAGTCGTGCAACCACTGAATAGCGCATGCCAGAGCCCAGCATTGATACAACAATGGCTTGAATATGGCTGTATCGCTTCCCTCCGGTATGCCGGGAAATTGATTGTGAATTTCATAGCTCCCAGCACCACCATATAGAAAGTGGTGCAGATCCCCATGTTCGGCATACGGGAAGAGAATATAGTAGTTGTGTGGATCATGGTCCACAGCCGTGTAATGCTGCAGAATGTGACTCTGTGTTGTCAAACTCTCCTTCAAAATTGTGAGATTCTTGTGTTCTCTGAGAAAAGCTTCCTTTCGGTCGAATTTCTTGCAGGCAACTTTATAGGCGAAGTTGTAGTAACTTTTACTAGCCGTTTCCCAGTACCGTGGCGTTATAGTCACCAATTCCACTTCGCCAAAGCCCCCGATGCCCAGCTTTTCAGGCTTTATCTCAAATGGTAGTCGACGCTTGGAAGAAACACAATGTAGGGGCGTCGTGCAAGAGATCACTGTTGGGCAAAACTCGCATTGAATGATTTCGAATTGGTCTACTAGCTCTGATTGATCAGGGAGGAAAGTTTCGATTTGCTCTCGTTCTAGCGGAAGATCCTTATCGGTTATATTCCCAGCAAGAAATAAACTCCGAAAGTTTGCTAGGCAATGTGTGGCCTCGATTGATACGAGAGTGGAAAGGATGGCAATGAAGTTGTCTTGGATATTCTGCAGATCGTCATCGATGCGGCGATCGGTATAGAGCACTTTGTGGATGCGATCTTCCGTCTGCCAGATTTCCAACAGATCTTGATGCGAAATGAACCGGCTGGCAGGCTCGCATCGTCGCTTAGTATGTTTCTCCAGGTTATCCTTAATATTCTGGCAGGCCGTGAAGAATTCGGAGCCCGGCTGAGGAGCACTCATTTGGTCGAAAAGCAGGAGTCGGACGACATGGAAATGGCACAACCCAGTGGGAGTGAGGAAAGTAGAGAAGGTACTAAGAAGGGTGGTGGTGAGCCGGACAGGTAATGCACCTGCCTGACTGAACACACGGTCATGTGCAGGCGGCACTGACTGATGACGATGATAAGCAGCCTCCTCTGGCCGAAGATGCGATTGCTAAACCGAGGTTAACCGAAGCAGACTACTTACTAAGTAAACTTGTAACCACCACAACCACCACCACTACTACTAGTGTTTACTAAAAGGTTGGGTGACAGGTACTGGACTACTACTTAGTAGTAGTTGGCACATAAAAAGGACCAGTGATTCTCTATCATAATCCAACATTCATGGTAGAGCCATGAGAATGCTTCCGTTGGTGTCGTAAATATAGATAAACCTTCTCTCCATCTAGATTGTTTTCTATGGTGGGCATAGTTTGTATTCTTTCGTTCAGAAGACGCGAACTATGCTTATCCAAGTGCAGCCCCTTGACGTATGTGATACAAAAGCGTAGGTAGCGCAATGAGTCAGCGAACTCGGATTTTCCAATCATTCAGGAACGGCTTCAGCTCCCTTAACCAACTGTAGCCTGACAAGATAGAGGCCGCTGCCCAACAAAGAGCCTCGTTGCCCAAAGACCGTAAGCGCGTCAGCCACTCTGGTTGGCGGTGCAGCCTGTGGCTTATCCACAGCCTTACACACTACTATTTATGATTTACATCTCACATGATAAGATGAATATAGAGATCCTTGCTTATGACTGCATAACTCAGTGACCCTTGTTCTCTAACTACTCCATACAAAACACCTGACTTTATCGACTTGTGAGACGATCTTCAAGCGGCTGAATTGTGCTAAGAACATGGCAGGGCAGCATCCGACAAGAGTCGCTTTATCTCCGGGCAAGCCAGGAACCTCCGTCGGACAACACAGTCGAGGGGCTGATCGGAATGGCGTTCTGACAGCGCAAATAGCGCATGCTTAGCGAAGTGATGGACCAACAAGTCACAGCTGAGTCGCGATTCCACCGAATCAGGTCACAAAAGCCGCTGGTATGGAGTACTCCGTACTACTCCCTAGAAAGCAAGACGCTGAGCTGATCGGGGAGGGATGAGACGGATCAGCGATGGCCGGTGTCAAGGCTTGACCAGGATCAGGCCTTAGCTTCGTTTAGGTTCACCACTCGTTTCGCACAATCCCCCGGCTTCGGGGCCGCAGTGGGGAAAGGTCTAGCAGGGGTGGGAAATTACCACTCTTGTTAAGTCACTTCGCTAGTAGACTAGTCCGGTGGGTGCGGCGGATAGTTCCTTATTCCCTCTCTCTCCTTCCACTTCAGTTCAATGGAACGTCTACCCCATTCACTGGCCATGGGGTTTGACAAAAATTTCAGTTATTGAATAATCATTCTGACAGAGTTATAATGATGATGGAGTCTTCGCAGAGGCAATTGACCAACAATTTCTCTGTCGTTGGTCAACCTTGCTCTGCTCGCACATCGCTGACTCCGTGCTAACGAGTTAGGGTGAGCCGATTCTTTGTCCATGATCCCTGTCAGATCCCCATCGGGCTAAGCTAATCACTGAGGTCTTTCCGACCAACAGATGGGGTCAGCCATACAGAAGCCGTTGAAGCCGAGCCTACTAAATGAGCAGATCCAAAACATTGAGGGTCTTGGAGTCACAGAAAATGCTTTAGTGGGCCGGCTAAATATCGTCGCATGCGGTTGTGTCTCGTTACAGTGCCCCGAGTTGCTTTAGCACGTCCCGCCAATAAAAGCTGTTTTTCTCTTCTTAAACTGTCCAGGACAGGCATTGCTAGTTCAAAATCTACTTTCCTAGAGGCATAAATGCTCTGACTTCGCTCCTAGTCCGGGTGTGGTCACTTCCTCTTTCCGTGTTTATTCATCCTGCTGTGCATTATCACCTTTGGCAGTGATGTTACGACCAATGTGGTATCAGGCTGGGACATGTCTGCTTTTTGGGCTTTCCGTTACGGTGGCAGCACTGGATCTAGACATTAACAGTACACGTAAGGTTTCTCTCGTCTGGATCATCGCGAAGGGACCGATGAGCTAACTAGCCCTCTTTTGCACCACATTTAGAGTCAATCAAAGATGCCGCAACAGTGACAGTTCAGAACACGCTCACCAACTCATCACTTAGCGGCAATGTCAATCCGGTGTATGGTGATGCTAATGAGTGGCTATTTAACTCCTCCACCGTGGAGGCGTGGCTATACTCGACTCTGATTCCGTATTGGAATCTCACTGGAAACGATAGCTACAATAATCTGATTAGCAAGCGCATGTATAGTATGGCAGGACTGGAACTCGGAGATGGATGGGCGGCATCCGACAATGATACCAACATGAACCATGGAGCTTGGGCACTGGGCGCTGTAACAGCGGCTGAAATGGGCTTCCCAGCCGACTCTACCAAAAAGTCTTGGCTGACCTATGCGAGTCAGGCTCAGGGGACCATGAGGAGTACATTCACATTTTCAACTGTGTGCGACGGTGGCCTCGAAGCTGGCAATAGTGTTTTACAACCGGCGAACGAGTCGATGAAAGACGCCCTGAGCAACGGAGAGTTCCTGCAATTGTCCGCACGACTAGCGTATCTTACCACGGGTGATAACCAATCTTCTTATGCAGACGATGCAGTCAATATTTGGAACTGGTGTGTGGATAACGATATGGTGGTGGAGTCAAATTGGACCGTTAATTTTCTGGTGACGAATACGACCGCCTCAGGAGATTGTACGGCGATAACTACGAATAATGGACAATACACATATGCCTATGGTTTGTACATGAGCGCAGCGGCATACATGTATAGTGTGGTAGGTTTGCAAAGGCTCCACCATGGTGTGCAAAAAAATCATGGCTAATCATGTGGGCTCAAACTAGACCGGCGCAGCTGTTTGGAGGAAAAGGGCAGAAGGGCTGTTAAATACCATTATGAACACGTTTGTTGACGATGGTGTGATACAGGAACTTGGAATTAAAATGAAAGCCGGCACAGGTTTCACGGGTTCGAATTTGGACGATGATACTTATTACGCCTTGAAGGGCCTCCTGGCATCATGCCTTGCGGCGGTGACGCGCCTCATGCCAGAGACTGTGGACACTATTGAGCCTCTCCTCCGGAACACTGCAGAGGCTGTTGCGAAGCAATGCAGCGGCATGAGCAACGGCACTGTCTGTGGTTCCGATTGGACCAAATCGACGTATGATAAGGATCCCAATTTCTTCAGTTCGATGAGCGCCGTGAATGCATTTACTGCAAATTTGTTGATGTCACGGAGCTCCAATAGCTCGAGCATCACGGGATCCGGCACCAACGGAACAAGCACGGACGCGGAAAGTGGTGGAAGCTCAGGTGGGCTCTCTGGCGGAGACATTGCTGGTATTGTGGTCGGATCCGTTGCTGGCGTCGCCTTAATTGCTGCTGTAGCCTTTCTCATCCTCCGAAAGAAGAGGAAGCAAGCTGCGAGTGGAGCCGGAGTAACACCGGAGAAGAATGTGACCACTGATAACAAAGGCGGCTATCAGGCTGCGGAGCTCGAGCCACGAGAGGTTGCGGAGCTTCCCCAGGGCGCTGCCTCCTACAATTTCCCGGAGATGGACACCGACACTGCGATGGAGCAACCGCCCCAGGAGCTGCCGCCACAGGAGCTGAAAACGACGAAGACGATCCGTTATGAATTGGCCTAGCCGTGATGTAAAATTATACCGACTAATGTAGATAGAAGGGAGTGTCGGGGATTCGGTCAGGTATAATACACGACCTAGCAAACGATTCATATTTCAATTGAGGAACAGTGTTATCTGAATCATACTGACAGGTATATCTACTGCTGTTTCATTTTATTTTTCAAGTGATCTGCATGCTACACTCCAGGGTGTTGATCCTGTTATCGCTTCATAATAGTAGCCTCCATAGCAGGTCCGGTAGTAGATCTGATAGTAGTAGCCCAGATAATAGCCCCGAGAGCCCCGAGACAACCTACACCTGGATCCAAATAAGAAACATTCAGGAGGATGTTCGCCTTTCCCGATATTCCCCGATTATAAACAACCTTAGGAAATCCGGAATTCGAACGATTCTCCGCACTAATGCACAGTAGGCAAGGCTTGTCGTCTACACAGGGGTGTGCAGCTGGCAAATCATTTCTATCACATGATTCGTACCAGCAGTTATAATTGACTGAAAGCTGCCGCTGTTGCTTTCTTGCATCCAAGGGGGATCCCATCACTAAGCTAATACTGGCAAATCGATATCTGTTCGTCTGGCCGGAAGGAAGTATGGCTTACATGGTGATTGCCGAAAATATCTTACGGGAGATCTTTGCCTGAGATTCCCTTAACTAACCCTGTTTCATAGACATAATCGACACTAACCTTTCTAGGTAAGATGTGTAGCAATACTGGAGCGGATTCTCTCCGACCGAAACCAACCCTCCCGATACACCATCAACTACACTCCAATCCTTCCCTTCGAGAGAATAATAAGACACAGTTATCATTGAAAGCTTGTTGGTGCAATGTGTGAAGCATCATCAACATAACACAACCTTCCTTAGCACAACAGCATATCATGATCAATGAATGGTCTCCAGAATACCCCTCACTTTTCCCCGGCCGCCTGAGCCTCCCCGCCCGAGCCTGCCCGCCCGGGGAAACACTATCTACCCCACAGACAAGTTGAGCGAAATGTGGAGAGCGAGTGCAGATGTTCGCAAACACTGCCTTTGCATGTGCACGAACCACGCTAATCAATGCCGAAATCTTCATCCGGCTTCATAACTTTTGGCTCTGACCAATGTTCTCTCCGCATTCTGCTTGGAGACTGAACTACTCCTCTTTTACAACGATACCAGCAATACGCTTGTTTCACGGAATATTGGACTGGGAAGAGGAAGCTATATTATTGCGGGTCTCTGTATGGTCATGTCGCTCCACCTATGATGTCCCTGTTCTCTCCAGGTCATCTGGACTTCCTTCCGAGGCTTGTGGAGCTGCGGGGGAAGGTTATGACTGCCGTTATTCTTTCCCGAAGGAAGATCATCTTCTCAGACATAGTTGAGATTGTTAATGAGAGCAGCTGGTGGACTCTGGCTTCATCCTATAAATCGGTCTGCAGCTGGCATCCGACATATTTGGCAACATGCGGCAGCAGTCTCCGAGGATTCTGGTCTGTAATTCTCCTATCTGTCACACTTCGTCATACTGACAAATAATATCCTCGCAGACATTGTCAACGCATCGAATCGGTCAACATGGGTCTCTGCAACATGGCGTGGGCATCCATGTCAGTATTATCCCTTTTTGGGGTAGCCGCAGCATCAAGTTCCTGCATTAAAGACACGTTCTCGTCTCTCAACTTGAGCAATATCAATTTACTGTCGCTCAACGTCACCGCTGCACACAACTTTGCCACCAATGCTTCACTTTTGAGTGGGATCTTCTCACCACCCGTAGGCCAAATGCCAGCGACGGTAGAGATCTGCATGGTGTCATTGCAGTACACACATCCTGGCCAGAACGACATTGTCAATACCTATATCGGCCTCCCTCTTGATGCCAGCAGCTGGAACTCACGCTTTCTCATGGACGGGGGTGATGGATGGGTAGCTGGAGGTCTTGATGAAATTATAGCTCCTGTCGCTGCCGGATACTCATCCTCCTCGACCGATGGGGGACACAATAGTACCGCCTCAACGGCAGACTGGGGTTTTGTGAGTGAAGGCAATACCAACTGGCCGGCGCTGTGGGATTTCTCCAGTGTGGCACTAGGCGAAGCAGCTGTACTTGGGAAGCTGGCTACGGAAATCTACTTTGGTTCGCCGCCCAAGTACTCGTACTGGAATGGATGTTCTACTGGCGGTCGACAGGGACACATGATGGCCCAGAGATTCCCGACCTACTTTGATGGTATTGTGGGAGGCTCGCCGGCTATCAATTTTGATAGATTCCAACTGGCTGAGTTCTGGCCTGTTTTCCTGGCGCAACTTCTTGGTGTGTTGACTATTACTGGGGTTCGGAATCTATGCTAAGCAATATCTCACAGATACACAGCCGCCTGCATGTGTCCTCGATGCATTTACGGATGCTGCCATCGAAGCCTGTGATTTGCTGGATGGAGTGAAGGACGGAATCATTTCTCTTCCGGGTCAATGCCATTATGAAGCGTCGTCGATTATCGGCCAGACAGTAAATTGCAGTGATCCGGATGGGCAGATTACAATTACAGACAAGATGGCCGAGCTAGTCCAGGGCATGTGGGACGGACCCATATCACTCGAAGATCAGTTCGAGTGGTACGGACTGGGTTTTGATGCCGATCTAACAGCCCTCCTGGCTACGACCTGCACAACGGTTGATAACTGTACTGTGAGACCTTTTAGTATCAGCGCCGACTGGGCCCGGATTTTCTTGGCCAGAAATTCGTCCTTTAGTATCCAAGGCCTAACGCGACAAGACTTCGATGATCTCTACCGCGAATCAGTTGACCAATACGCCTCTGTTATTGGAACGCGCAATCTTGACTTGACAGGGTTCAAGATTGCAGGAGGAAAGATGATTTCTTGGCATGGAATGCAAGACGAGTTGATTCCGACCAACGGTACAGTGGATTATTACAGTCGGGTGATGGATTTGGATCCCAGTGTTGCAGACTATTACCGCCTTTTCCTGGCACCTGGAGTTGCTCATTGCGATGGGGGTAATGGATTCGATCCCAATGATTATCTGTTTGAAACACTCAGGGCGTGGGTTGAGAACTCAACAGTGCCTGATACTTTGGAAGCCACTGCTGTAGCAGTGGCTGGGTCGAACAGCAGCTCAACTCGCACGGCGTATCTTTGTCCTTATCCGAAGATCTTCACCTATGTTGGTGGAGATCCGAACGATGCGTCGTCTTTTAGCTGTGCTTGATATAGAATTAGCCGAGATGGATGTCCACATACTCCATATTTAGTATGGAGTTGGAGTATGGAGTATCAGGGTTGCCTAAGTCAGGGTCCAAACTGAATTGCATACTTAACTACCGTACTGAGTATTTAAAATAAAAACCGAATATTCAACCGCAATGTCTCAGTTATCCACCAAAATCATGCTATAAATAATTGGTCGAAAATCATCCGTCGTCGCGAGGAGAGAGACGATCAACCAGCAAGTCATTAATTGAGTTGCCTGCAGGGCCTTCCATAGTAACTTGGAATGAGTGGTACCTACATGGACCACAGATCCCTTTCCCCTCATGCCATGACTGGATTCTACCATCCCTAAGCTTCTCGGCACTTTATTAGATGCGGGTGTGACCCGTGTGTGTGTCTTGGCTACCATCCATGTCCGATCACCACCATTCCACCTTTTCCCTAATCTTCCCACGAAGTCAACCAAGATAATGACCAATCCATCAATAACAGAATGAAACCAATAATAAAAAGAAATAAAATCGTACCATAACAAATATCTCCGACCTCCCACCTCCACTGCACCTCACCCAATACTAAAATAAATAAAGAGAAAAAGAATGATGATAATCGGACATCACTACCCAATCGGGCATCCCGAATCTCTTCTGCCTGAACACTCAACAACAACAACATACAAACAAACGGAACAAAAGCGGGGGTGTCCGACCCGCCATCCGCTTTTCCCTCGCTTCCAATCATTCATTCCCTTCTACTCCGTACTACTGTCTAGGGTTTGCTTCATTTCTGAGTTCTCCTTCGCTGGAAATTCTGGTGCCTGAATTAATGAATGAATTAAGTTGTGATGTGATGGGTGGACTATTTTTAGATCATCGATAGATAAAAGTAAGTAGTAGAAAGTGGTAAATCAGGGTTCAATGTAACGGTTATTGATTGGATTAGTATCAATCAATCAGGTCGTAGTTAAGACTTTCACGAAGTCGTGTCATGGTTGCGGTGTACTACACTTATGCAGGATACCAATAATTTACCTGAGCTAACGGTATGATGAGTAGGGGAGGATATGATATGATATGATATCGTGGTGATCAGTCAGTCCACTCAACTTTGCTCTGTGCTTGTGCTTGATTTTTTCTTGGTGTCGTTAGTGGGTCATTAAGATTAATGAATGGGGCGGTGCGGTTGTTGAGAGTTGGAGTAGTAGTTAGTCAGTCTAGTATCGGGGTTTTCTTGATTTTTTCCTCCCTTCCTTGCTTGCTTTTCTTCGGGGGTTGGCTGGTAATCGTAGAATTGCTTTTTATTGCCTTGCCTTGATAACATGGAATAATTTCCATTGCCTTATTGTGTAACTTATCTATCTATCCTGAGGAATGGATGCAGTACGTAGGTACATACACAACAGCTGAAACAACCACCTATTTACACAGTATCTTTCTAGCTACTGATTAGCTGATCATCCGAGCTGCTACTACTTGCATCGGAGATACCGCTACCACTCACTACTACCACATACAAAATTAGACACTCCCCTAAAGACAACACTAGACTAGTGAGTAGTTAGATATCTATCTGCCTACACCCTCACCCTCACCTCCACCAAAATTCTAGTCGGAGACTAAACTACTAATAATATCCCAAACAAATTCTAACATAACCACAATCACACTATTAAGTAAGAACCAAACATCAACCCCCATCTAACTAGTCAGTTAGCTACTACCCATCCCCACAACTATTTCTACTGTGTCTAGTGTCTACTGTGCCTTGAATAGTGCCGACCCGTGCGCTGTGTGCGTGTGTGTGTGTGTGTGTGTGTGTGTGTGTGCCGTCCGTTCCAATCTGCATGATGGTGTCTGCATGCATGCTACACACTAACTAACCACATAGCACTAATTACTACCTATTGTTGTCTGCTGTACTTATTCCGCACTTATCCCCGTCTTTTCGGTAGTAGCCTAGTTTACTACTTACTTACTACTTACTTTCTTTTTCTTCAACACACACCCCCACCCATACACTCACACTCACACTCACATCCTCGAGTTACTGCCTACTTCCTCGTGTTTATGCGTCCAGTCCATGTCGAATGATGTATTGATACCCTACTACTCAACATACTACCCACTTGACGAGTTCATGGTTATTTGTTACTGCTAGTTAAAGTTTCCGAGTTACGAGGATATACCCTGGTTTCAATTTCTTTTCCTGCACTGGTGGTGGTGGTATAGCACCAACGGTGCTGCGGTCCGATGATATGATACCCTTACTACACAGCCACTTCAATTCCTCCTCCCAATCACGCACACGCACGCCCTACTTGCTCCTCGTTCTGGGATTACTCCTGCAGGTACATGTACCGCTGGTTGCGGGGAATGATAACTCTAATTGTGAGTTGTACTGTCCTTAACCTTCGTGATAGAAGCCCCAGGCAACTAATCAGTGGGTGATGTGGTGTGTGATAGGTTCATCCACTTCGACGATATCCTCTCAATCTGATGCGGACTCGCTCTCCTCCTGCGATACCCTCTCCGGTACCTTAACTATCTCTACCTCCGCGACGGGCAGTATTTCGCTCTCCAATGTTGAGACTATCAATGGCGGCATCACCATCCAGGATGTATCGGGCTTGACGTCGTTCTCGGCATCAGATCTACAGAAAGTGAATGGGAAGATATATATCTCTGGGAATGACGACTTGACGAATTTGTCGTTTCCGGATTTGGAAAAGGTCCCCGGAGAGATTGATATCGAGGGGAACAAGGAGTTGAGGGATATTGTATTCCAGGATTTGAAGAATGTCGATGGGAGTTTGATTTTGGAGGGGACTTTTAATGAGTTCGTCCCCTTGGTCTTTTATGTTCGAATTTCTGTCTAACGTTGGGCAGGATCAAATTCGACGACCTCGATAAGGTCAAAGGACAGACGGTGATTCATTCCCATGGCGGGTCGTTTCGATGCTCCAGTCTCAATTCTCTTCGTGACGATGACGATGACGACGATAACAATACCCGCCGTCGCCGCGACAACAACAACAACAACAACGGCGCCTTTCAAGGATCTTACACCTGCACTGACGGTTCCAGCAGCGGACTTAGTGCGGGCGCCAAAGCCGGTATCGCCATTGCCGTAATTGTACTGGTCCTTCTCATCCTTGTTGGTTTATGGATGATGTATCGGAAACAGCGGAAACGGCGCAGAAGACGGAATGATGATCAGAGCCAAATGATGTATACGCCTGTCGGGGTCGGCCTTCGGGGCGGCGGTGGTAGTAGTAATCGAGACGAGGAGTCGGCAGCTGGTGATGAGAAGCCCGTTACTGGAGTCCCGAATCCCGCCGTACTCAGGCAGAATAGCGACCCTGTTATTGCGGCTAGTGCCATTCCCCGGAAACCGATATCGCCGCCACCGCCATCGAACGAGATGAACCGGGAATCTATGGTGTCCATGTCGACGTCTCCGCCCCTCCCTGCTGCGTTGGTCCCAGGAGATCGCTCCTCTGCGTCGCCGCCGAATGATGCCGATGGACGATCACTGTTCCTGCATCCGATCCCCCGGAGGCGACCGTCGGAGACAGACGTGCCGTTGCTGGATAGTGGTGACGTGCATGAGGCGCCCGGAAGTCCAGTACAACGGCCAATGTTTGAGCTAGATGCAGGGCCCGTGCGAGGAACGCATCAGCAACCTATTAACCATGAGTAGCATGCGCTGCAGTTTATGATTTGCATATCCAATGTATATACCTGAGCGGTCAATAGTCCAAAAAGATTCACGAAGATAAGAATATCTAACTGTACATTAGATCACGAATCATAACAAAGAAAACCAAACCAAATGCAACCGATATCCCCAATCATGATAGTATACATCATGCATTAACAATCATCCATTAGATTATGACTTCTTCGCTCGCACTGCCTGCAGTGTCTCACCCGATGCCAACGGTCCACACCATCCGTACGTGTCGCACCGGCATTGCTCGTACCGAGGGCAACTATACCCGTTAGCATCTCTCCGCATTTCTCCCACCAAAGTGTAGGCCAACTTACTATATCACATCCATCCCGAAAATGATATGCCAGATCTTCTCATACACCCATCCCACACCAAAGCTATCCGTCAGCTCCGTCTCCTCTGCCCATTTCAGCATGCGCTCGTAGTCTTCGCGTGGCCGTTCCAGGATCCGTTCTCGGCTGACGGCGAACTGTCCGCAGCACACATTTCCGATGTGTTCTGGCACCTTCTCAGCCGGTACACCCAAGATCGTCTCGTACACTTCCGGGAAGAATGCGCGGATGTCGTCCTTCTCGATATCGATTTGTGTCGGGCTCCAGGGGTGCACGCTCGTGGGACATCCCGGGTCGTGCTCGCATCGAAGGTTCACGTAACCCTGCGCGTCGACGGCCTCGAGTCGGAGGTTCTTCAGCGCGGGGCTGGTGTGGGGACCGAAGAGGTCATTGTGCCATTGGTCCAGGTTCGAGTGGATGAAGATGGTATACTTCGGAAGTTGGTGGTAGAAGTCGACGACGAAGGAAAGGTAGGCGGCGGCTTCGCGGCCGCGAATAGTACGCGGAACAAGGAGGTAGGGGGCAGGGGGCTGGTCGGTCGTGTAGATGAAGGGAATCGAGCCGCTGGAAGAGGTATATTAGTATATTATCGCCGGGTGGCTAGGTAGAATCGTACTGGTCTTTGCAGTAGTTGAGGAGCCAGGTGAGGTCCTCTTTCACGGTCGCAGCCAATACCAAGCCAATGTCATTTGTCGCATTGCTGTAAGTACTGGTAAGTTGGGCCAGTTGGGATGTCACGATGTCGTGATCGTTGTTGGGAGATTCTTGGTGGACTGGTGAGACAAGGCTGGGTCAGCATGATGTCGGTGATGATGCACACGGACCACGTGAGCTGCAGAGAGAAGTTATAGATACCTGGTTGGGGTTCATAGGGCCGTGTACCGTAGAGATACCAAGATACCATGGAGGTGACAAGGAGAGCAAGACATCCCAGGCCGGCAGTGCGGCGGGCAGGCCAGCGAAATAGCCGCCTCTTAGACATTGGGGATGGGCCTCACGGAGAGGGGGAGGCGACGGGACGGAAGAGCAATATAAACGGGCGCAGAGGGGAGAGGGAGGCGCTATTAAAAAGGGGTAGGAATGGAACAATGAGGCAGTCACAAATCAAGACATGAGACGAAGATTAAGTCGCGTCATCAGCCATGTTGCGCGCAGCCAAACGAGAGAAGAGATGGAAGAAGTCAAAGTTGGAGTGAAGTTGAGTGAGTGAGCGAGTGAGTGAGCCTCAAGCGACGGGAAAGAAAGGGTAACTCAGGGAAAGGAAATGGATGGCCAGCCAGCCGAAAAGCCAAAAAGGGCCCCCTCGGGTGGATCCAGGCTGGACGCCATGGCCTCACACAATACGCAGTAAGGGGCAGCTGGCGACGCCTCTAACCACATCCGGGCTAGTCTGGCCCTTCTCCGGCCATTTAATCGTCAGGATCTGAAGTTGAGTGTAACCCCAGTGGAGTCTCGATGTTCCTGATGGTGGACGTTTCCCCGCCCCCATTGGTCGCCTGCCCCCGGCCCAAGAACCGCTAGTGACGGATCCATCCTTAGTGCCATCCAGCCATGCCCCGTTCGGAGCTAGGCCACGTTACTTGCAGATACACCTGGAGTGTGAAACCTGGAGGTGGAACAACCGAGAACGGTCTTGGAGAGAGGCAGGAAAAGGCTGAGGAGGGTACAATAACTGACGGTGAGGGATGAGGTCCACAGTAACATGCTTACTCGTTATACAGCAGCCGGTTTGGTTTGGAACCAGCTGTTTTGCCTATCTCGTTGCAGGGCCAAGAAGCCACTCGTCACGGAGTACGTCACCCTATGAGGACTACGACCAAATGATGCTTGACGGGTCATTTCCGGCGCGTCGGGCCCATCCGGACACATGCAGGTGTCGGTATATCGCAGCATATGCCACGCAGCTGTCGCACGGCTCCTGGTGGATCGCATCGTTGATGACCGGCGAATATATCTTTCGTGCAGCCGCCCTGAGCCACCACTGCTTATATCTTCCGGCATTATGCAGTACGCGCGTCTGTCGATGTGATGCGTGATATTACTGTAAAGCAGGAATCAGAAGTGTACTTCAGACTTAGCAGCTTTACAGATTAGTATAGGGGTCTTCATGCTTACGCTCCGTATGCTAGTAACATTGGCCTGATTTCTGTTCTATAGTTGAAGGATAGCTATGTTGACCTGTTGTAACAAGCTTTGGCCCAGTACTAGATATCTGATTCACTATAATCTTAGCCCACATGCCCCTAAATAGAAGCAGGATTAAGCCACGTGGTGGTACAGCATGACAGGTGTGGACCATCCAGCAGTGGTGTACGTATGTTGACTGTTATTGCTCCCGCAAGTCAAGGTGGGCCAGTTCCAGACACCTTCGAAAGTGGACGGAATATGGAGAATTGATCTACCATACCCAGAACAGTTAGCAGTAGACTCTATGCCGTATGGATTTTCAGCAGATAATGATACACCCACTCAACGAGTTGGTGGGCGAAGAAAGCAAGTTGATGAGGTATTGCGAGCTATAAGTGCCTAACTAATGTCTTCAGCCGGTCCACCTCCTTGCAGCAATTGCAGCAAGCACAGTACACATGACAGCCGCAGAACCAGAGCAGCCACGTCAAGATTAAATTTCGAGCCTCAGCGTTAAGCATAGATTAGCCCGGACGTACAGATCGGCCCATAGGTTGTCCCTGACGGATGTCGGACCAGGACGGGATTGGTGGTATTGTAGATAGTGTTGCGGATAAATTGACCACGATTGATACGATCCAGATGTACGTGCTGCTATCGCTATACTTGGGCGTTAATTAGCATGTTTGGTTAGCTGAGCACTCTGCCTCGCTGCTTTGAAAGCTAATATGGAGACACAACATAGTCTACCGGTCAGTCCCCGGAGATTCACATAATCGCAGTTGTAGGTGGCATTGAATCTACTCAGGTGGCCGACATGCTCTTCGCAGTCATGATCAACATCAGCTTGAGACAAGAACGTGGTTAGACTTTCTCATTCAACCGAACAGGAAGCTGGAAGCGCGGCACGTCTCAGAAATTAGCCGTGGTGGTCGGCGAGGAAGCCGAGCGGATGATTGGACTGCTGAACGAGGCAATTATCCGTGCGGGAAGCGGGTTGATGCGGATGATTTGGAGGTGATTTGGGGAAGTCTGACCCCGCAGAGATGCAAAGATGCAGAAGAGATGTGTAAGCGAAATGTTCCAGATTCCATGGCTTCTCTCAAACGAGATGTAAATCGTTGAGTCGAAATCTCAATGCTCGGATCATGTGCCTGGCAGATAATGTTAGTAATGGGGCCTGAGTAAAATATCATAAGGACAGTGATTGGTGGAAAATTATTTGTAGGGGTCCCAAAGAGGAAACGTGTTTTGGCGGGGACGAGAATTCGGAGGAATGTCTGCCGCCTGACATCATCACTGACTGTCTCTGACTTTCTCTTGACGGCCATCAACTGCTGGAGGTGTGTACTCCATCAGAGTTGAAAACACAATAGCCATTGGCAAAATACCATTGCAACCTCAATTCTCGGGAAATAAATGGCGTGTCTGACCATGGTTTCCTCATCTCGGGGTCGGAATTAACCGACAGACCGAGAAGTATCTCTGAAGATGAATGGAATGGGAATGGGAACATCCCACGCACGCCCCACCGAGGGGTCCCAGTTACTGCTGGCGGGGTAAACTTCCCCTCGAAAAGCATCAACAGCCACTCATCGTCGCGGCACCTCCTCCATCGACTTCGATGATGGACTAGAGCCATGCTATGTGACCCCCACCGGAGGACCTCGGCCGTCTGGAAGCGCTCCCTATTTCTGTCGCGCTCGCCCTCCCCTTCTTCCTTCAGTCTTTCCCTTCTTTCTTCATCTCTCCTATCTCTATTCTCCTCGTGAATCTCATCCTCTTACACAATGTCTCTCGGAAAGAAGGTTACTCTCAACTCCGGTGCTCAGATCCCGTATGTATCTCCTGTCTCTGCTTGCGCAATCGCAATTGCTGACCCCAATTAGCCAGCTGGGATTTGGTACCTGGCAGTCTGCCCCCGGTCAGGTCGGTGATGCCGTCTACGAGGCCTTGAAGGCCGGTTACCGCCACTTGGTAAGTCATACTTCCTGAGCCCTATTCGGTGAATAATCAGTTACTAACACGATCTAGGATCTGGCTACTATGTAGGTTCCGACACTCACCTCAAATCGATCACACAAGCTAATCCCCGCAGCTACCAGAACCAGCGCGAGGTCGCCGAGGGCATTAAGAGAGCCTACAAGGACGTTCCTGGCCTCAAGCGTGAGGACATCTTCATCGTAAGCACATTCCATACATCCCACCTCTAGCCTATACTAACCTCCGCAGACCTCCAAGCTGTGGAACTCCCAGCACGACCCCGCCGTTGTTGAGAAGGCTCTGGACGAGTGCCTTGCCGAGCTCGAGCTCGACTACCTCGATGTGCGTTCCTTGATGACCGACATCCACCAACGATCACTAACATCTTCCAGCTCTACCTCGTCCACTGGCCCGTTTCCTTCACCACCGGTTCCGAGCTCTTTCCCCTCGTCAAGGACAGCTCCGTTGAGGGCGGTGATGTCGTGATCAACGACAACATCTCCATTGTCGACACCTGGAAGGCCATGACCCAGCTCCCCAAGAGCAAGGCCCGCACCGTCGGTGTCTCCAACCACATGGTCCATCACGTAAGTCGCTTCATACCCACTGCTCATCAACACATAGTAACCTCCGACAGCTCGAGGCCATCATCAACGCCACCGGCGTTGTCCCCGCCGTCAACCAGATCGAGCGCCACCCCGTTCTCCAGAGCAACGAGCTCATCGAATACTGCCAGAAGAAGGGCATCCACGTGACTGCCTACTCCGTACGTTCTCCCTTCACAATCATGCCAGGCACAACCACTAATGAACGATGAATACAGGCCTTCGGTAACAACGGCTTCGGCGTCCCCCTCCTCGTCACCCGCCCCGAAGTCAAGGAAGTCGCCGAGTCTGCCTCCAAGCGTCTTGGCACCACCGTCACCCCCGCTCAGGTCATCCTGGCCTGGTCCCAGGTCGGCGGCCACAGTGTCATCCCCAAGTCGGTTACGCCATCCCGCATCCAGGAGAACTTCAAGGAGGTGGAGCTCACTCCCGAGGAAATCGCCAAGGTGTCCGAGCTGGGCAAGGACCGCAGACGCTACAACACTCCTTACATTGCTAACAAGCCTCGCTGGGATATTGACATCTTCGGTGAGGAGGAGGAGAAGCCTGCTGGTCATAAGGTGATTGTTTAAGTGCTGGTCGCTGGGAACTCTCGCTTGTATGATGATGATGATTATGTGATGGGTTATATATTGTGTAGGAGATAGAGAAATGTGAAAATAGATTTGGTCTCCATATTGCTGATACTTACCTGGCTGAATGGAAGGAAAGAGAAAAGGTGTGTTTCAAGTAGTAGTAGGTAGTAGAGGCTATGGTTGACATTATAGCTGGTGTATATTACTAGAGAAGATAGGTCGAAAAAATTGATTGTTTAGTAATTATACGCTACCGGCACTGTGTATCCTCAGGATGAATTCAACTAGACTAACTGCTTCACTTCTTACATGCCCACATATCTTTGCTAAAACGAGCAAGCCAACAAGCAACCCCAAGAATTTCATGCCCTTCTATCTATACTTTAGACATAAGCAACAGTCTATATAACAGTCACACAAAAGCAACCTTCTACCAACTTTCCAAACCACCCAAACGCTCCCTATAAAACTCACAAGCTAAGCACCCGATGATAACCTTTTTATTAAAAATGCCCCAACATGACAGAACGCGACCAACCCCTTAACCAAGAACAACCCCAAACAAAACCTTTTGGCCATTCTTCCTCCTCCCAGCTTACCAAAACCCAAGGCATCCATCCTTCCTATGCTTCACACAAATCATGACTCCGGAGTCTAGAGCCAGGGGTAGACTTTCATCAAGATGACCCTCCGGGTCGATGTGAGCTTGAAACCCATACTCCTTTAATTCATCCTGCAGATCCTTGGCCCTGGCGATCAAGTTGCCCAGGGATTCAGACATTGGCCTTCCTGTGTATGTAGAGTCAGTAGGGAAGAGACGACTTTCCAGAGGGTTGCTTTTCTTCCCGGAGAAGCTACCCCGAGTGCTGCTGTTGCTGTCATCGCAACCCCAAGCGTTCCTGCAGAGATATTTCCAGATAGCATGTATAGCCATCTGCCTGGATTTATCCATATGCTTGTAGCCGAGATAGCGGTCGCAATGCTTCCGTATGTCTTTCCAGATAAGGTCGAATTCGCCCTTCCTGTGGATTGATTATTTGCCATAGGGGTTAGCTTGGCAGAAACGCATGGCTAGGGAAGGGAAGTAGTAGTAGTAGTAGTAGTAATTGATCTGATCTTACAGTGAAATTGCTACTTTCATTTTATCATAGAAGATTTGAGCTTTCTCGGCCAAGGCCTTGTCTTCTCGAGCTTTGGTGATATGCTTCTCGGCCTCTTTCTGCTTTTGCTCTGCGCGTTTGGCTGTTTCTTTCGCGTGAATCTTCCAGCTTTGTAGCTCATCGGTAATAGACTGCGCATGGTCTGCATTGCTAACTCATTAGTTTATATTTTTATTTTTATTTTTACTGTACTTTGATGGGCAGCAAAGACTCAGGTCTAGATTCCCCCAGACCCAACGATTCAGCAAGAACGTCGTTCACCGTGGTATGCTCACGCTGTAGTCAATTGACATCAACTTCAAGATCTCCGTTGGTCTCCTGTAGACCACGGCACAATGTGCGAAGGGTAATGCACTCGTCCTTCAACCGCCGATTCTCCGCTCTCAAGCTATTTAGTTCGTTCAAGTCGGAAACGGCTCGTTCGGTGATTTCAGACTGGGAGAGATTACTACCAGCCGTACCGGTGGCCGTGGCAAGCTTGCCTCGGTTGCGCTGGAGTTCTTTGATGCGTCGTAGATGGTGGTAGGGGTCGAGTCTGATATCTTCGTCCCGAGATGCGAGGCAATCTGTACACAGTGTTTGCGGAATATGGATTCAGAGGACATTGTATATGGTAGCTTTCTGGGCAGATGTGTAGATGGGTTTGTGTGTGTAACTTTTTTGGAAGAGGGAGGGAGAGAACAGCCTTTCGCTCGGTGGATGGAGGTATAGGTTAGGTACTGGGCTGTAAGGGGTAGGGTTAGGTATGCGGGGGAGGAGCAGAGACAGAGAAAAATCTTTGATTTGCACATTTATTGCAGTTTTTGCTGCTTACCTTCGTGATAATTGGTAGATACTACAGTGGAAGGGCTTTTCAGCTGACAGCCTTACTTATACATGAAGGCAGGGATATCGTGTCCAATCAGCCATGACCACGTTAGGATGGTGTTGTCAGTGCTGAGTCTCTTTGCGCAGCACTATTCGGCTGGCTGTTCTGGCATTGACGAATAGACAGTGAGGAATTGAAAGTTGTTGTGGAAGAAATACAGCCTTGTTCAAAGCAATGTGCGGGGGGTTGGAATCGATAACACAGAGAAGTAATTGTAGAAGTAATGGGGTCTTTCGACACGACTGGCCCCTTCTGTATTTTTGAAGTGATCGTATCAAGTAGTTAACGAATAATTAGGATATTTGTTTTGTTTTGATATACCACAAGAAATGGAAGTTCTGTTCACTATTTGCCCTGCATAAGATGGAAGATACTATTACCCAGATACAGTTCGATCATGCGTAGGGGCATAATCAGAAAGTGTAAGAGAGTCTTCACAGAGTTGCAGATATAGGGGCAGGTACTCGCAATGCAAAAGTATTCAAGATGGCACAAGTCTGCACTCATATGATTAGTTAATGGATCGGTTGCTTGATTGTTTGTAGGTTGGGTCTTAGCCTGAGATCGATGAAGTACAGCTAGCATACCCTTATTAGATCGACTCCCAGTTAGAAGAAATATTCTTTTGTAGGATTTACTAGCGTTGTAGCTCTGTAGAATAAGTAGTTATAGCTTAATGTGTCAGGAAATGGATATCGCAAGAAATTGGAGATATGAGACCTTAGATGAGAATCTCTACTATATAGAGTGGCAACATTATTAGCATCTATACACTAATCGCCATGCAGCTGCCCAGATCAACCACTGACTCAAGTCTACTCTATGTCTGATAATACTAGCCCAGAAGTATCATAGTAGCAGCAGACCCGATCAAGTCATAGATTCGTAGAAGTTAATTGTATTACAACCAATAACCTAATAAGGCCTCAGAGTCTCCCCACCTCATCAATCAAGCTTCGTAAACAAATCCATCAACCTCTCAAACCTGGGCGTCCCCAACCCCGTAACAGGATCCCACCCCGTCGCAACCGGAAACCCATCCGTCCCACACCCCGGATTCTCCCCAACGGTAACATCCCTAAACGCCTCGGGATGTTCATACAACACCGGATTGACAAACCCCACCGTAGACTTCCCCTTCGCCAACCTCTCCTCATTAATGCGCGTCAACATGGCCGCGAACGCCGGCGCCGCGGCAGAGGTACCGCCTACCAATGTGGCTTCGCCCTGGTTATAGATGATGATGTTGTCTGCGATTGCAGAGACATCGGGGTATCCTCGTCCGATGCGGTTGTAGATCCCGTTTGCGTTGGAGAAGTCTGTGTAGTTTACTTCTGAGTAGTAGGGGTAGGTGAGCTCGTCGGAGGTAGTGGAGAAATAGGCTTCCACGGAGTGGTTCTGATATGCTGGTCGGGCGTAGATGTTGCTGAACCCCCCGCCGGAGGGGAAGCGGGTGACTGCGATTTCTTCGTCTTTGGCTGCGTCAGAGCCTAGCGGGAGGTATGTGCCTCCTACTACGGTTAGGTAGGGACATGTGGCTGGGAAGTCCGGGACGAAGATGCTGTCTGAGGTGCCCAGGCAGGCGCCGGTGCTGGAGGCAACGCCGGAGTCGCCGGATGCCACGACGACCGTGATTCCCTGGAGGCCGAGTTTCATGAATTCGTGGCATTGGCGGCGTTGGTAGGCGATGGGGAGCTCGGCTTCGGGGCTGCCGTAGGAGATGGAGATTACGTTCGTCGGGGTGTAAACACCGCATTGTTTGGGGGAGTTGTAGCCGTCTGGGGAGGGATCTGGGTATTGTGGGTCTAGGGAGGAGGTTTCGTTGCAGTAGGAGCCGTCGATGGCGTAGAGGAAGTTGTTGAGGATCCCTTTGTAGTTGTAGTTGTCTTCGTAGTTGGGGTCGTCGGTTTGGTAGAGGATGGTGTTTTGGGGCCAGACGATTGGGTAGGCTATTTGGAAGTCGAGGTCGGATTCGGGGCCCGCGTTGGTGACGTCTGTTGGCGCGGTAGCTCCGTCGATGGAGTCAAGGGTTGGATGGGTGCCTTGGGGAATCTCGCTGGGCGGTGTTAGTTGTGATTTAGGGGGTGGATGAAGGGGTTGGACCTGGCAAAATTGGAGAAGAAAAGGTTCAGGTCTTCTTGACTGTAGATGTCTCCTAGGTCTTCGAAGATGCCAAGCTCGTTGCCCTTTGTGGCCGTTGTTCCTTTGGTGATGTTGTACATGGCTGGACCGTTAGCGTGGGTCATGGAGTCGGGTGGATGAACATACCTCTAATACAGTCTGGTGTCACCGCCAGATCGCAGTGTGCTAGCGGGTCGTCGAAGATCTTGGTGATATTGATTGGTAGTGGAGCGAGAATTGGGGGCAGACTACCAAGGAAGCGATTCTCTGTATCTCTCTTCTTGGAGGGCATGCCGCGCACTTCCAACATCTTCACTCCTGGTGTGATGTAGTCGATGTGTGATTGAATAGCCTCGGGCACGTGGTATCTAACCAGTTAGCGGTGTCATGATACGTAGAAGATGGACTCACTCGTGGCATGTCACATGGGAGCTTCCCGTGTCGGCGTGGGAATAGATGTAGTATTCTGTCTGCAGCAGCTGCTCCACATCGCTTGCGTGGGCATCGAACTGCAGCCATTGCTTATTGTAGGATTGTGAGATGCGGCTTGGAGCAATGCCAGCAGACTCAATCCAGGCTCGGACGTTCTCCACGGCCTCATTCGACGGAGCGAATAGGTCATGCACCTCCTCGCTGGAGAGATGCTGTCCGTAGCGAGACGATTGTGGATGAGATCTAAACCATTAGCTTGGCCCTGATGAGGGATAATACAACATACACCTCCATCAATAGATCGTGACCGCGATCCAAGTTGGACTGAGCAAGCCCTATTCGCATAGGTAGCATAGCACTCTTGTCCAACCGGCTTTCCTCTACCCAGACTCTGGGCAATGCATCGCGCCGCTCATGAACGACATAGTCACGGGGCGTTGGGCTAGCCAGAGCGACCGTAACACTGAGAAAGAGAAGTGAGGCACGCATGTTGACAGCAGCGACAGAACAAGCGTGGCGTGCAAAACATTATGCAAAAACGGTGGGAGCTGCGAGAAATATATGCTGGTTGACAGAACGCTGCTGATCCCATTGACTCGCATCACTTTCTCATCGACACGCTGACGTTTGCACTCCAACATCTCATCGACAGAAACCCCTGCCTAGAGGGTATGGCATGGACTCCAAACCCTGATAAGAGACATCGACATCCATCGCCAATAAGGAACCTGACTAGTGCAGATCACACTGGATCGTCCTGACCAAGACCCGCTGTCCGTGTAAGCACCAATTGCTGTGCTATTGTCGTTAGCCAAAGGCTGTTCAGGACATCCACAGCAGAACAAATTCGCTGGTTTCAATGATCAAGTGACAAACATGTTGCTCAATGGCAAAATCCCCTATCATCAATCATAAATAAACCGGTCAATTCCACCACTAAACCGTTATCACCAACCCAACAAAAGAAAACACAGCCATAGCGGAAAAAACAAGCACGACACACAATCAATTGTCCGATCTGCACGAGAGCAATAGACAGCGGGCTGTAAAGCCTAAGTCGTGGGTATGTGTGGGTAAAACTATGCCACTAGTGGTGGCTCCATGACGGGCGATCAGCGCCAGACACTAAAGCTTGTCTTCGGAGTCGGACAATCCACGCGGAAAGCTTGAGTTGGTCTTGATAGCGCCAGGGGAGAGATAATTCCCCTTTCTCATTTCTTCGCTGATGGATGTTGGGGATTATCTGGTGTAACTTGTTGAATTTTAGGTCTGAAGTATGACCTTGTGCCATGAGCTAGCTAATTGTTAGGGATATTTAGTAAGTCCAGCGTGATCACTCAACACGGGGGTTTATCAAAGCGCACCTTAACAAGCAATAGTTTGTTTTATCTCCACTGGTGGGTCATATTTTCCTTTTTCAGGAACCATAGTGTCAATAATTCTCTCCACCTGGTGGGCAGACGATAGACTGGTAAGCTTCACAGGATGACATCACTAGCGACGGGTATTTGGTTTAATCTGAAAGCAGAAAGCCCAAGTGGATTTCACTAGGCAAGTAGATCAATTTTGCAACTATTTGCTGATGTTCTTCAGTTTGAGTTGGAAAATTGTGCTGGATTGTGCGGAGTTGTGAGCACAACGTAGAAATTGGCTGGAGCAATGCTATGCTTACCTGGGTCGGCGAAGCCATCACTTGATTCTCAGGAAGTGACAATGATACCCACTAACTAGGGGTATTAGTATCTAGTATGAAGTGCTGGAAATATAGAAAGTTTTCAGAAAATGTTGCACAAATATGTCGAGTGGACAAATGATATGTTATTCATCTTGCATTAAGCCGACAACTGTCTATCTAACTCCTTTTAGTATATACTTCAGACACTGTATCGTCCCCCTCACTAACCTCCATCATTACCGACCACTAATCTTTCACCTCAAGCAATCTTTTCCGGGGTAGCAGTGACCTCCTGATGAATAGTCTGTCCACCAGCAACCTTCTTGTCATCGTCAAAGCCAACCTCCTCGATGTGTGCACCACGCGAGTACTCGTTCTTCGTCTTCCAGGCGGGCGTACCAATGTACGGGATACCGTTGGGATCAGTGAAGATGGCCTCGACCTCTTCCAGGGTCTTACCCGTGGTCTCGGGGAAGAAGAAGAAAATGTGCAGGAACATGGCGGTACAG